CGCGCCGTCACCCCACCGGGAGGGGCCGCCCGCCAGGCTCCTGGGGCCCAGCGGGAAACCTGCTCCCTTGCATCAGCCGGGCGCCCTCCGCGCCCGCCGACCACGTGCACGCCTCTGGGGCCCGCGGGGACCCGGGCCGCCCCTCCCGAGCCTCTGCATCTGGGGTCTCCCGCCCGTCTAAGACGGGCGGGGCACCCGGCGGATGAGGCGGTCTGGGGCGAGAAACTTCTCAGGGGCTTGCTCTTGAATGAAAAATCCTGGGCGCATCACGATGAAGAGCATCTGTTGGAGGATCAGGCTACCTGAGCTCCAAGCTAGTTATCTCGGCTTCTTAGATCATCCCCGGTCAAGCAGTTCCCCTCTCGGTGTCTTCGTTTTCTGGACACAACAATCATTTCATGGGCCTGTGTAAAGCTCTAATGAAACAGTCTGTATGAAGTGTTCACAACCCCAGACACAGGATAGCTGCTCCCTCCACATCGGCTGCCTCCCCCACCTGTACCACCTGGGACTCAGAGGGGTCCACAGTGAAAAGTACCCCCCTCCACCCCCGCCCCGGGAAAACACTAACCTTGTGTATTTTTCCATAGAGAGTTCCCTGGCATTCACCTCATGCCAGAACCCTCGGCTCTGCCTCCCTTCTACGGGGCCCATAAACCTCCAAATATTGTAGGAAGGCTCCTTCCTTCCGGGAGGACACCTGCGGGGGCCCACCGGCTCCCAGGCCTCGCTAGGATGGTCAGAACCACCATGCTGCCTCCATGCCACAGCCTGCGTTTCTGCAAGTGGACTTGCTGAGTCAGAATGGATGCATTTTTAATTGCAACAGATGTTGCCAAATTGCTGGGGGCCTCTGGGGCCACAGGACTTAGTTGGCTGTGGCCCAGCCAGAGGCAGAGGTGAAGTGCTCGGGGGGCGGGGAGCAGTGATTGAGGAGCAGAGCAGCAGATGCTGTCCAGGTGCCCTCATTCCCCAGGCGAGTGAGGATGCAGACAGTAGGTAACTAGAGATGAAGTTCATTCATTTATTCGGCAACAGGGGACACTGGGTGCCTGCGACATGCCAGGCATTGTACTGGGCAGCAGTGAACACGATACACAAGATCCGTATTTAGTTTGCCTAATTTCCTAAAACACGATTTGGGGGCATGGGAGCGAGAGCCCCGTGGGGTATTGGAGCTTTCCTAACTGCCGATGGGACCTTGAAAGGGATCTTTCGACAGGTGTGTGGCCCGGTCAGCACCCATCCAAATCCTGCCTCTCCAGCAAGGCCCACCTCCGCCATGAGGCCGGATAGCCCACTCCTGCCTCTTCTGCCAGGCGACCTTGACTCGGCATTCTCACTGCGTGTCACTCCAGCATGAACTTCCGTGTGGACACATCCGTCTCATTTGCTGGGGAAGCACAGTAGACGTGGGCCTTTGGAACTGGCCGTCCAGGCTCCAGCACTAACTGGCACGTGAACTTGCACTGGTGGGCTCACCCCTCTGAGCTCCGGTTCTCTCCTTTATGGAAGGGAACAATATCTGCTCAACTGAGGGATGGTAAGACTCAGAGGACGCAGTGCATGACGGGAAGTCTTTGGTGGAAGTGAGCTGCATCCTTGGACAGCCAGGCAAAGCTCCTCTTGCATCTCTGAAACTTCGGCACCCGGTAAGTCCTGGCACCAGGGCATGAGGGAGTAGGGGCCCCACACATATAAAGGTGAACAAAATCCAGGAAAACGTGAGTAAAATCTAGTCAAGTTTTCTGGGGAGCAGGCTTCAGTAGCAATATCTTGATGGATTCACAAGGCTCTGTGTGGTGAGCCCCAGCCCATCCCCACCCCAGCCTACCCCGGACTCGTGTTTACCTGCTCTCCCCAACCCCAAAAAACCCCAAGTTCCAAGAACACAGAGCACTTCTCAGTTCCTCCTAAGCCCCATGCCCTCTCTCACTTCCAGTTCTCAGCAGCTGCCATTCCTCTCCATCTGGAAAGTAGCCCCAAACCCCATTCCACCTCAACACCTGACTGACGGACCCACTCTCAGGTCTCAGGTGAAAGGGCCCTTCTTCTGGGAACCTGTTCCTGTCCCAGGCCCCGGCGAGACCCCACCCCACCCCCAGCCCCCTGCACTCAGGATCTGCCCCACGCATCTCAAGTAGTGAATGAAGAGCTGTGAATGAAATCATCAGGACTTCAGCTACAGATAAATCCAAATAACCATAAGCTCCAGCCAAAGCCACCATTACTCAGCAGTTACACCATCTGTCCTGTCGTGTTTGCAAGGGTTACAGACGCGTGTCTGAGGGCTGGCTGCCAACTCTCTGCCAACCTGGATGAAGTGAGGAGGAATGAAGTTCTTCCCAGCCTGGCAGGATCTTCAAGTGTGGCAGCAGATGGGACATGGGGGGCCTCAGAACCGCTAGGTGAGTAAGTGAAAAAACAAAGCACAGGCATTAGATCTTGTTTTTGAAACTGGTCTGCCTGTTCTAGATTCACTGACTTCCTGACTCTTTTAGAAACAGACCACTTAAGACGTTGCCATGGCCTGAACAGCTTGAACTACATCACACAGAGATTCAGGTCGGGAAGCCAGACAGATCCGGGTTCAAATCCAGACTGTGCCACTGACTGGCTCTGTGACCTTGGGCAAGTGACTTTATCGATTCGCGCCTCAGTTTCCTAATGTGTAAATGAGAATAATCATACCTACCTCAGAGTGACAGTGGGAAAATTCGATGTGTATATAAAATGCCTGGAATTTTTCCTGATATAAAACTGATGTTAGTAAATGTGAGCTATTTTTAAAATTATTTCCAAAGCATGCCTGACAGAATTTTCCTTGGCTAACGACTCCATTACGTTGATTTGAAATCCTGGATGCCACGATGCGCAGTGAGCTCTTTACTACGAGATCTACATAATATAGGTCAACAGCACGTGGGTGCTTAGAACTAAACACACAGCTGTCCTTGTCAGGAGGTGTGCAGGCAATAAGACAAGTCACATGCTGTTGGTCAGGAAACTGGGTCAAAACCAGAAGAAATATTCTGAATTCCTGTCAGGAAGGCCTGGGGTGTCAGGCATCTGTTTCTATGCCGTGCACAGGAAAGCAAGAGCCACAGACGGGTACAAAGAGGGTAAAAGAGAGAGAGAGCTCACATCTGGTCGGGAGAGGGGGGAGCAATCGAAAGTACTCAGGCTTTTTTTTTTTTTTTTAAGATTTTATTTATTTATTTGTCAGAGAGAGACAGCGAGAGAGGGA